GGGGTTTCACCATGTTGGCCAGGATGGTCTCGATCTCTTGACCTTGTGATCCGCCTGCCTTGGCCTCCCAAAGTGCTGGGATTACAGGCATGAGCCAACACGCCCAGCCTCATTTATCTATTTTTAAGACTGAGATTGCCATCTTTTTATATGCATTTCTATATAATAAGTCCAATTTGTGACTTGCTTCTTAATTTTTGCAATTACATATTTAACTTATAGACATTAGTAGTTTTTGGAGTCAAACTCCAATCTTCTCATTTTTGGCTTTTTAAAAAAAATTGTATTTATGAACCGAAGACATTTCTCATCCCCAAATCAAATAACTAAATATTCTCCTTTGGTTTCCTAATTGTTTTATGGCACAGCTTCTTTTTTCCTCTGGATTCTCATAATTCATCTAAAATGTACCTTGATACCAACTAGCCTTCTCAGCATCTGCTGGGAAAGTTGTTTCCTGTTGTTATGCAACTGTATTGCTTCTGCTACTCAGGAGTGCATGATGTAGTGTCCCCTTGGTAATATGTATGTTGATTGCAATCAATACCTGCAATTTGGATGTCAGCCTTTGTGATTTTAGATTTAAGCTTACATTAGAAATCATTGTTTCAATCAATCCACTACATCCTTTTGTCTTGTTTTACTTTTTATTACAGAAAATCTCAAACGTGCACAAGAGTGTACTAGAATTAACCTAAAATGCCCATCACCCAGCACAACATTTATTGACTTAAGAATATGCTTGTTCTAAGCCATGTATGCCCTTATTCAACTCTGCCACCAGATTTTTTTATGGAGCAAACCACAGACATCACATCATTTTATTCACAAATATTTTAGAACATATCTCTTTTTAAACATAATCACAATTCCATTAGCACACCAAAACATTTAATGTGAATTCTTTAGTCAGATACCCAGTTTATTTCCAAATTTCTCTGAGCCTTTTCTTTAAAAGAAAAATGTTTATTTATAAATTTTGTGTTTCATTTGTTTCTGTTGAAGATTTTTGTTTGTTTGCTTGCTTGGTTTCAAATCAGGATTCAAATGCATAAGATCTTTCCATTTGACTACTTTCTTGTTCTCTGAAATGCCAAGATGTTCCAAGTTTAGGTTGCTCCCTTCCTGCCCTAGATCTGGAATCAGCCATTTCTCTCAAAGCATTTGTTTCTTTGTGGGAAATGGTTTCCAAAACTACAGTCTGGAATGCTCATTGTCATTGCTTCTAAGCCTTTCAAGTGGACAGAATTACTTAAAATTCAGGACTACAAGGAAATATGTAAGTGGAAATATGCATACTGACAACTCAAATTCAGGACTACAAAGTTTTCACTTAACCTCTTGTCTCACTCTTCTGTATCTCCTCTTTTCCACACTGAGAAACCTTGTTTTCAAAGGCACAGACGATAGAATTTATTTCCAGTTACTCATTTTCTTTATCTCACAGCACACATACACACATTACAGTCTCAGAATAGTGGTATTAATACTATTATGACATATATGATTACTAAAAGACTAATTTCTTCCCAGCATCTCAGAACAACTTGATTAATTTTTAGATTGACTTCTAGGGCTATATATTTTTGATCCGTGCTGGTGGAGTAAAGTCAAACCCCAAACCCTCTTCAAAGTAAGCCTGGAGTCACAAATTATCAGAGAAGACTGGGTTTTTACTCATAGTCTGGATTGAGACAATTTTCTAGTTGCCTTCCATTGCCAGCAGACAGATCCTGGTTTGTTTCTTTACCCTTCTGTTGACCGCCTTTGGATAGTCCCATACTCTTGCAAGGACATCTGTGGCTCCCCTGCCTTTGCATAGGCCTTGTTTCCCATTACCCCCTTACGTTTACTGAGATTTTAGTTTACGGAGATTAGTAAGTGTCCTAGAACCAGCCATGGCTTTGGGCTAATTTACTAGTCTATCTTTTTGATCTCTCAATTTTCAGACCCCCAATTTTTTTCTTACTTTTATGCAAGTTCAGCCACACATTTCAAAAGAATTCCATTCTACCTTATCTAATCTTTCTAGATATTTTGCCCCCAAATTTCCAGATATGAGAATCCTAGTTCCTTTTTTCTATTCTTTCTTGCTCAGTAGTGAAAATAGAACTTTTTTTCCCCCTGAGAGTGGCTCTGAACAGATTTTATGCGGCTTTATTAGTAGTGTCATGTGTATTCATTATTTAAGAGAAATTCAATTGTCCTTTATGAGATTTTTGTCTAATTTTTGTTACTACTTTCTATTTTTGTTGCATCGTGATTTGATTTATCCAAGCTGAAATATATCAAATTTTTGTAAAGATTCTGTATACATTTGCAAAGATATGTAATCTTTCTGTTTTAAAAAGTGAAAAATAACTGATAAAGATAACCTTGTTTCTCCTGTATACCTTAACTTAAATCTTGTTTCTTTGCAGCATTTCCCTAAGGTCCAGCTTCTTAAGTTTACCATTGGAATTTTAGGAATTATTAATAGAAATGTAATGTAACTTTAAAATTGTGTCAAAAAATTCAGAACTAGATTCCCAAAAAAACTGTTAAAGGTAATTAGCTCTTATCTTCTCCATATACTTAGGTGGTCAAGACATTTTTATGACAGAAGAACAGAAGAAATACTATAATGCAATGAAAAAATTAGGATCCAAAAAACCTTTAAAACCCATTCCACGACCTCTGGTGAGAGCAATTGAATGACTGTAAATATGTAGAGCAGTTGAGTTATTGTGAGGCATTCAAATTTCTACAATACCATCTTTCTTTATTTTTAAAATTTGCAGAAATTAAGGACTCAACAAAAGCCAAGACATATTCAAACACTTAGGAAAATTAGATATTCAAGTTCAAAAGTAAGATCTTGGACAACAACTTAAATTTATTTTTTAGTGAGCCAGGCAATATGTGCTTAGTAAGTGCTTACTGCAACCATATTAACTTAGTGGTTTGTTCGAACTCAATTTTGACCAGTTTTATTTCATTTTATTTAAATATCTTTTGGGGAACAATTGGTTTTTTATTCCAAGCATGGGTTCTTTAGTGGTTTCTGAGATTTTGGTGCACCTGTCACCCAAGCAGTGTACACTGTACCCAATGTGTATTCTTGTATCCCTCACTCGCCTCTCACCTATCCCCTTGATTCCCCAAAGTCCATTATATTATTCTTATACCTTTATGTTCCACCTACAAGTGGGAACATACAATACTTGATTTTCCATTCCTAAGTTACTTCACTTAGAATAATGGTCTCCAACTCCATCTGGATTGCTGCAAATGCCATTATTTCATTCCTTTTTATGACTGAATAGTATTCCGTGGTGTAGATATACCACATTTTCTTTATCTATTCTTTGGTTGGTAGGTATTTAGGTTGGTTCAATATTTTTGTCATTGCAAATTGTGCTTCTACAAACATGTGGTGTGTAAGTGTCTTTGTCATATAGTAACTTATTTTCCTTAGGATAGATACCTAGTAGAGAGATTGCTGAATCAAATGGTAGTTCTACTTTTGGATGTTTAAGGAATTTCCATATTGGTTTTCATAGTGATTATACTAGTTTACATCCCCACCAACAGTGTAAAAGTTTTCCCTTTTCATCACATCCATGTCAGCATCTATTATTTTTTTATTTTCAAATTATGACCATTCTTGCAGGAGTAAGGTGGCATCTCATTGTGGTTTTAATTTGCATTTCCCTGATAATTAATGATGTTGAGCACTTTTTTTCTATGTTTCTTGGCCATTTGTAAATCTTCTTTTGAGAATTGTTTGATCATGTCCTTTGCTGACTTTTGGATAGAATTGTTTTTGTGTTGATAATTTGTTTGAGTTCCTTGTAGATTCTGGAAATTAGTGTTTTGTTGGATGCATAGTTTGTGAATATTTTCTCCCACTTGGTGGGTTGTCTCTTTACCCTACTGATTATTTCTTTTGCTGTGCAGAAGCTTTTTAGTTTAATTAGGTCTCATTTATTTATTTCTGTTTTTGTTGCATTTGCTTTTGCATTATTGGTCACGAATTCTTTGCCTAAGCCAATCTATAGAAGAGTTTTCTTGATGTTATATTCTAGAATTTGAATGGTTTCAGGTCATAGAGTTAAGTCTGATTCATCTTGAGTTGATTTTTGTACCAGGTGAGAGATGAGGATCTAGCTTCATTCTTCTACATGTGAATTGCCAATTATCCCAGCACAATTTGTTGAATAGGGTACCCTTTCCCCAATTTATGTTTTTGTTTGCTTTGTTGAAGATCAATTGGCTGTAACTATTTGTCTTTATTTCTGGGTTCTCTATTCTATTCCATTGGTCTACATGCCTGTTTTATAACAGCACCACTCTGTTTCAGTAACTATGGCCTTGTAGTATAAAGTCAGGTAATGTGATGCCTCCAGATTTGTTGTTTGCTTAGTCTTGCTTTGACTATGCAGGCTCTTTTTTGGTTCCATATGAATTTTAAGATTTTTTTTTCCTAGTCCTGTGAAGGATGATGGTGGCATTTTTATGGGAATTGCATTGAATTTGTAGATAGTTTTTGACAGTATAGTCATTTTCACAATGTTAATTTTAGCCATCCATGAGCAGGGGATTGTTTCCATTTGTTTGTGTCACTAATGATTTCTTTCAGCAGTGTTTTGTAGTTTTCCTTGTAGAGATCTTTCATCTCCTTGGTTAGGTATATTTCTAAGTATTTTTATTTTTTTTTCCTGCAGCTGTTGTAAAATGAACTGGGATCTCGGTTTGTTTCTCAGCTTGGTTGTTGTTGGTGTATAGCAGTGTTACTAATTTATGTACATTGGTTTTGAGTCCTGAAACTTTACTGAATTCATTTATCAGATCAGGAGTTTTTGGATGAGTCTTTAGGGCTTTCTAAGTATATTATCATATCATCAGCCAAGAGCAATAGTTTGACTTCCTCTTTTCCAATTTGAATGCCCTTTATTTCTTTCTCTTATCTGATTACTCTGGCTAGGACTTTCAGTGCTATGTTGAATAGAAGTGGTGAAAGTGAGCATCCTTATCTTGTCCCAGTTGTCATGGGGAATGCTTTCAGCCATTACCTTTTCAGTATGATGTTGGCGATGGGCTTGTCATAGATAACTTTTATTAGCTTGAGTTAATGTTCCTTTTATGCCAGTTTCGCTGAGGCTTTTTATCATAAAGAGATGCTGAATTCTGTCCAATGCTTTTTCTATGCCTATTCGGTGATCATATAATTTTTGTTTTTAATTCTGTTTATGTGGTGTATCATATTTATTGACTTGCATATGTTAAACCATCCCTGCATTCCTGGTATAAAACCCATTTGATCATGGTGGATTATCTTTTTGATATGCTGTTGGATTTAGTTAGCTAGTATTTTTTGAGGATTTGGGCACCTATAGTCATCAGGGATATTGGTCTGTAGTTTTATTTTTTGTTGTGTCCTTTCCTGGTTTTGGTATTAGGGTGATACTGGCTTCATAGAATGATTTAGAGAAGATTCACTCTTTCTCTATCTTTTAGTGTCAGTGTAACCACCCAGTGGGTTCACCTTGCCTGCTGTCTAGACAGAGCTGATTTATCAAGACAGGGGAATTGCAATGGAGAAAGAGTAATTCACACAGAAGTGGCTAGGAAGATGGGAGTTTATTATTACTCAAATCAGTCTCCCTGAACATTCAGGGATCGGGGATTTTAAAGATAATTTGGTGAGTAAAGGCTAGGGAAATGGGGAGTGCTAATTGTTCAGGTTGGATGTGGAGTCATAGGGGGCTGCAATGAGGCTTTCTTGCTGTCTTCTGTTCCTGGGTAGGATGGCAGAACTGGTTGAGCCAGATTAGAGGTCTGGGTGGTGTCAGCTGATCCATTCAGCACAGAGTCTGCAAAATATCTCAAGCACAGATCTTAGGTTTTACAATACTGATGTTAGCCCCAGGAGCAATTTGAGGAGATTCAAACTCTTGGAGCCCAGAGGCTGCATGACCCCTAAACCCTAATTTCTAATCTTGTAGCTCATTTATTAGTCCTGCAAAGGCAGACTGGTCCCCAGGCAAGAGGAGAGGCCTTTTGGGGAAAGATCTGTTATCAATTTTGTTTCAGAGTCAGACCATGAACTGAATTCCTTCCCTAAGTTAGTTCAGCCTATTCCCAGAAATGAATAAGGACAGCTTAAAGGTTAGAAGCAAGATGGAGTCCTTTAGGTCTGACCTCTTTCACTGTCATAATTTCCTCAGTTATGATTTTGCCAATGCTGTTTCATCAGTAGGATTGGTCCCAATTCTTCTTTAAACATCTGATAGAATTCAGCTGTTAATCTGTCTGGTCTTGGACTTTTTTTGGTTGGCAATTTTTTTTATTACTGTTACAATCTTGCTACTTTTTATTGGTCTGTTCAGAGTTTCTATTTCTTCTTGATTTAATCTAGGATGTTTGTATATTTCCAGGAATTCATCAATTTCCTCTGGATTTTCTAATTTGTGTGTGTATATGTTCATAGTAGCCTTGACTGATCTTTTGTATTTCTGTGGTATCAGTTTTAATATCTCCTTTGTCATTTTTAATCGAGCTTATTTGGATCTTATCTCTGCTTTTCTTGCTTAATGTAACGCATAGTCTGTCATTTTTATCTTTTCAAAGAGTCAGCTTTTTGTTTCAATTTCATTTAGCTCTTCTCTGATCTTTGTTATTTCTTTTCTTCTGCTGGGTTTGGGTTTGCATTTGGTTTGTTTTTGTTTCTCTAGTTCCTTGAAGTCTGACTTTAGATTGTCTGTGAGTACTCTTTCACACATTGTGATGTAGGCATTTAATGCTGTAAACTTTCCTCTTACCACCACTTTTGCTGTATCTCAGTGGTTTTCATAAGTTGTGTCATTATCATTCAGCTCAAAGAATTTTTTAATTTCCTTCTTGATTTTATTGTTAACCTAAAGATCATTCAAGAGCAGATTATTTAATATCCATGTACTTGTACAGTTTTGAAAGTTCCTTTTGGAGTTAACTTCCAGTTTTATTTCACTGTAGTCAGAGAGGATTCTTGGTATGATTTCTATTTTCTTAAATTTATTAAGACTTGTCTTGTGATCCGTAATATGGTTTATCTTAGAAAATGCTCCAAGTGCTGATGAAAAGAATGTGTATTCTGCAGTTGTCAGGTAAAATGTTCTGTAACTATCTGTGAAGTCCATTTGTTCTAGGGTATAGTTTAAGTCCATTGTTTCTTTGTTTAATTTCTGTCTTGATGACCTGTCTAGTGCTGTCAGTGGAATACTGAAGTCTCCCACTATTATTGTGTTGCCTAGTAGTAATTGTTTTATGAATTTGGGAGCTCATAATGGGTGCATATATATTTAGGATTGTGATGTTTTCCTGTTGGACTAATCATTTTAGCATTATATAATGCCCCTCTTTGTCTTTTTTAACTGTTGTTGCTTTAAAGTCTGTTTTGCCTGATATAAGAATGGGTACCCTTGCCGACTTTTCATTTCCATTTGTGTGAAATATATTTTTCTACCCTTTACCTTATGTTTATATGAGTTCTTATGTGTTAAGTGAGTCTCTTGAAGACAGTAAATGCTTGGTTTGTGGATTTGTATCCATTCTATAGTTCTGTATCTTTTAAATGGATCATACAGTCCATTTACATTCTGTGTTGGTATTGATATGTGAGGTACTATTCTATTCATCATGTTAGTTTTTGCCCAAATTACTTTTTTGGGTTTTTAAAAATTGTGTTGTTGTTTTACAGGCCCTGTGAGAATTATGCTCTAAGGAGGTTCTTTTTTTTCTTTTTCTTTTTCCCTTTTTTTTTTTTTTTGGTTTTTTTTTTTTTTTTTTTTTATAATTTAGAACTCCTCTTTGCATTTCTTGTAGTGCTGGTTTGGTAGTGATGAATTCTCTCAGCATTTATTTGTCTGAAAAGGAACATCTCTCCTTCATTTATGAAGCTTAGTTTTGCTGGATACAAAATTCTTGACTGACAATTATGTTGTTTAAGGAAGCTAAAGATAGCACCCCAGTTCCTTCCAGCTGGTAAGGTTTCTGCTGAGAAGTTCATTTGGCTGGCTGCCTTCCCAGAAGGCCCCTCTGAGATATAGTCAGGAATGGCATTGCAGGGCTCAAGCTGGAAGCTCGGAGTGCCTGCATGGTTCCTGCTGCTGCTGCTTCTACTTTTACATTTCATGTAGCTCCCTAAATTCATTTCAGATCTAGGTAAGGTTAAATCATTCTCTTATGATCTGGGTTTTCAGATTCCCCAGTGGGGATGTGTGTTTGGAGGCAGGTTTTCCCCCCTCACACTTCGGGAACTCACAGCTTTTTACCTGTCTTGCATAGTCTGCAGCAGCATGTCGCTTCTTTCAAAGGATCTGTGAATTCTTTTGGCTTTCCTGTTATGTTGCTGCGGTGGTTCTTGAAGCAAAAGTCCACAGTGTGAGTCTCCACACACTGTTCTGTTCATCCAAGTGGAAGATGCACGTTATTCCTGCCTCCTATCTGCCACCTTCCTGTTTTTGCTTGTTTCACATTTTGACCAGTTTAAAATGTATTTGTAATACTTTCTACCAGTTTTTGTTAGTGTGAGGTTAAGGTCATGCATACTCACTTCCACTTTACAAGTATTTATGATAAACTTTGTATATCAGGGATTTGACAGACTTTTCCTTAAAGGCCCAGATAGTAAATATTTTAGTCTTTGCTGGCTATATGTCTCTGTCATACTACTCAGCTCTGCCATTGTGGCACAAGAGCAGCCATAGACAATATAAAACAAATGAGCATGCCTGTATTCCAACATAACTTTATTTAAGGACATGGAAATTTGGATTTTATATAATTATTATGTGTCACAAAACTTTATTCTTTTTTTGATTTTTTTTTTTCACCAAACATTTAAACATGTAAAACCCATTCTGAGCTCATGGGCTGTATAAAAACAGATAGGTCGCTGGATTTGTCCTATATGCCATTGTTTGCTGATCCCTGCTCTCTATGAATCCTGCTTTATCAGGTACTATGGGGCAAGGTAGAAGCAGCATCCAGGGCTGCTCTGACTCACAGTCTAATTGAGGAGCTGAGATGCTGTATACACACTTGACAACATTAGATTATAAAGTAGTACAATAGGCACAACAGTTGGTACTCTGACAAGTGAGTTTGAAAACTCCAAAGCAGAGCAGGTCAGTAGAAGCTGAAAAGTCAGGAGAAACAGTAAGAAAGAGGTGCTTGCAATCTGAAGCATGTAGATAATTTGGAGATTTCCATTTGAGCTTGAGATTCCAAATGATCAATGCAGTTCACCTACTGGTATTCTTGGCACTGAGAATAGAGCCCGGCATAAAGTGTGTTCTCAGTAATTATTTATTAAATAAAAAAATATGTTTAAAGGCACAACCAGAGTCATCATGCTAAAATGAAATATTTGTGATGCACTAAAAATGTAAATGAATGTCAGGGACAAATATTTAGAATTTATCTTTTATATAGGGAGAGATTTTTGATCACAGGGTTAATGATAAAATTATATTTGGGGAGATTTAATCTGCCAACAGTTTATGGAACTTCTGTTTACCTAAATTCCATCTAGCTTTTACTTGTTTTATTATGCTTTAAGTTCTGGGGTACATGTGCAGATCTTGCAGGATTGTTGCATAGGTATGTACATGGTAGTTTGCTGCCTCTATCCCCCCATCACCTACATCAGGCATTTCTCCCAATGTTATGCCTTCCTAGCCTCCCCACCCCTTGCTATCCCTCTCCTAGCATCCCACTCCCAAACAGACCCCAGTGTGTGATGTTCCCCCACCGTGTCCATGTGTTCTCATTTTTCAACACCCACCTATGAGTGAGAACGTACAGTGTTTGGTTTTCTGTTCTTATGTCAGTTTGCTGAGAATGATGGTTTCCAGATTCATGGCCCTGCAAAGGACATGAACTCATGAACATACATGGCCCTGCAAAGGACATGAACTCATCCTTTTTTATGGCCGCATAGTATTCCATGGTGTATATGTGCCATATTTTCTTTATCGAGTCTATTATTGATGGGCATTTAGGTTGGTTCCAGGTCTTTGCTATTGTAAACAGTGCCACAATACATGTGGCATACATACATGTGCATGTGTCTTTATAATAGAATGATTTATAATCCTTTGGGTATACACCCAGGAATGGGATTGCTGGGTCAAATGGTATTTCTATTTCTAGATCCTTGAAGAATCGCCACACTGTCTTCCACAATGGTTGAACTAATTTACACTCCCACCAACAGTGTAAAAGCATTCATATTTCTCCACATCCTCTCCAGCATCTGTTATCTCCAGATTGTTAAATGACCACCATTCTAACTGGCATGAGATGGTTTCTCATTGTGGTTTTGATTTGCATTTCTCTAATGACCAGTGATGATGAGCATTTTTTGTATGTTTGTTGGCTGCATAAATGTCTTCTTTTGAAAAGTGTCTGTTCATATCCTTGGCCCACTTTTTGCTGGGGTTGTTTTTTTCTTGTAAATCTGCTTTAGTTCTTTGTAGATTCTGGATATTAGCCCTTTGTCAGATGGGTAGCTTGCAAAAAAATTTTCCCATTCTGTTGGTTGCCAGTTCACTCTAATGACTGTTTCTTTTGCTGTGCAGAAGCTCTTAAGTTTAATTATCTCCGATTTGTCTATTTTGGCTTTTGTTGCCATTGCTTTCGGTATTTTGGTTATGGAGTCCTTGCCTATGCCTATGTCCAGAATGGTGTTGCCTAAGTTTTCTTCTAGGATTTTTATGGTGTTAGGTCTTATGTTTAAATATTTAATCCATCTGGAGTTAATTTTTGTGTAAGGTGTAAGGAAGGGGTCAGTTTCAGCTTCTCTGTCTGGTAAAATAGTTTCACCAACCAGAAACTATAGCCTCAGCCTTAACTTTCACAAAGCCCACTAGATTCAAATTCTCTGACTGTTCTTGCTTCCACCTCACATTGACTCTTAAACCTATATGCTTTTATCTTTATCTGCTGTCACCACCACAAACCAACATGATCTTTGCCTGGATTACACAACAGATCCCTAGGGTATCTAAAGATGTATTCTTAGAGGTGTATGAGTTCTCTAAAGATAATAGTGTATGCCACTTTGATTAGATGATAATATAATGTAAAATAATATGTGCACAGATTGTAAAGTGACCATTGTGTAGTCAAGAATGCTATAAAATTTCAGTTTCTGAGTTTGCGTTTAGGAATAGTTTTCCACTAAGTGAAGAACAAAGTAGTGCTTCACAGCAGTTGCATTCAAGAAAATCATGGAATAATTGAGTAATTTCACTGCATATGGTAATTTGGCATGCAAACTTGAGGTAGAACCTGTACCAGAACAATCAGCATATACTCACTTTGTGGGCAGTATGAACATCTATATATAAACCATGCGTACATTTACCCTCAGTTATAATCATTTTTTTCTGTATACAGTTTTAGTAATTATTGGATTATAATCTCATTTATTAGCTTTATCTTCAAGTAAACAAGAATTTTAAAGTTGGCATTGAAAAATTATTTGAATGCAGAATTGTGGTTAAGTTCTGATTATTGAGAATTGGCAAATGGAGCATTAAAGATATTAATTCCATTTTGTCTGACATACCTATGTGAGCAGGTGTTCTCTGCATGAATATTGTTGAAGTAAAAGTACAGAAAGAGATAAAATATAGAAACCAAGATTCATCTTTTTATTACTGAATCCAACACATACTGTTTTATTTCAGCAAAGCAACATCATCAATCCATCAAAGTTATGTTGTTACTAAGACTTTAATATTTTTTGTTTTAACATGGAATTAACGCCATAAGCCTAAGCGCTTAAAACCAGTTACTAATTACATTTGAATGAAAAGATATGAGGCAACACTGGGAATTTATAAGAATTTCTTGCACTTTGAAAAGGGTCTGTGTATTTTTCAAAGAACTGCTTTAATTGAAGGAAAAAACAAATTTTGTTGTATTTATGTTCTTTTTCAATGCATGTAATTTTATTCTTGCATTCAAAATGATCTACAATTTCTTTTTTTTCTCAGAACAAATGTCAAGGTCTCGTATTTGACATAGTCACAAGTCAGATCTTTGATATCATCATCATAATTCTCATTATCCTAAACATGATTACCATGATGGCTGAATCGTACAACCAGTCCAAAGCTACGGAGTCCACCCTTGACCGTCTCAACTGGATCTTTGTGGTCATCTTTACAGTAGAATGTCTCATCAAAATCTTTGCTTTGAGGCAATACTACTTCACCAATGGCTGGAATTTATTTGATTGTGTGGTCGTGGTTCTTTCTATTGTTAGTAAGTAAAATCAGCAGTCAGAGGGGCTTTAAACTAAGAGCCAGAAGTAAGTTTGTAAATCTTATCATTTTTTGAAGTTTGTTCAAACTATCAACAAAGCGGAAAATTAGGCCTAGTATAGTTTCTGACAGAATAGACATGGGTACTAATGCCATTCTGTACTGGGAAGTTGGTCGGGGATAGAGTACTTTCCATTCCCTTAACTCGCTACATAATTGAAATAGAGTTAAATAACTATGCAGATAATGTATTCAATGGACCTAGACAAAATTAAAATGACTCAGAAGTTTTTGTGGTGGTAACCTGATTTATTCAGATAATTGATTCAAAGTTCTACCTTTCCTGTGCGATGATAAGCTCTACGAGCATTTTAAAGTTTTAAGGATTTACTGCCCATGTTTTTCCTTGTTCGAAATGCACATGGATACCAGATCACAATTACTGTGATCCTGTGGCATGGCTGTACCCTCCCTCAACCCTATACAAGGCCTCATGGCCTACTCTATATTGGGCTTCCAAGAGTAGATCATTCAGACAATCAAAGCATTTTTTTTTCTATTCTATTTCCCATGTTAACTTAAACCACAGTGTGAACTATGCTTGTCTCAGATGCTTTGACCCTGTTTACCACCCAGCCTCATTCTCTAATCACAGACAGGGTTAACTAAAAGGTTTATAAAAGAATACAAAAGAAAGAAGGTTGTTTCCATGTACCTTCTTATAAAACACACACATACACACATCAACTTTAAAATTAAATTCTTTGTGGCTGAACAACAATTGCTTATTCTGAGTTTTTGAAGTCTGGTTTTAATTAAACCATTAATTTGAGTTTTTATAATTATGTAAAACTGTCCAGGAGCCCTTCTGATAGTTCAAAAAGCAATGAAGACAAGGAAAACTGATTTTCCAAGTGGAAGCTTTTGTGCAATCTCAGAAAGAATGCATCAAACAGATGTATTGGATCAAGATATTTTGGTTCCTAATGCTACTGTAGCAATGCAGATGTTTCAGAGAATAACAGCAAATATGCTACAGTTCAGTGTGTTCTGGTTTATAAGCCATGATGTTAATGTAGATAAAGTTTAGAAATAGATTCTTCCGTAGGTTTACAGTTAAGTAGACCTTTAATTTTTATTAGTCAATTCCAATCACAAGTCCTGGTGAAATTGACAGTAGCAAAAAAGAAAGAAAGAAAGAAAAAGCTAGAAAATGGTGTTAGGATGTCTGGGGCAGGCCTTCTAAAAACTCAAAGAGCCCTTCCTCTGATAGGTAAAGAGCAGCTCATTTATTCCACAGCTCCTTCCATGCAGTGCCAGGCATTGTGCAGTTTGTGGAAATGTTTCTGACTTTTGTCCTTTGAACAGCTGCTAGGCAATTGCAGTTATACATGCTGTATGGCATTTGCTCCAGTGGATGAGAGAATCCACACATTAAGCCAAATCATATTCAGCAGTAGGATTAATCCATATATTAATCCTACTCACTAGTGTGGACAGAGTTGTATATACCTTTGCCAATATGTCTGCCGTCCAACACTTAGTCTCAATACTTTTCCAAGCTCTTACCTAAGTTTTTGGAGAAATGCAAAATAAGTGTGGGTTGAAGTGAATCTCTCTCTAGGAGTTAACAATGTAGTTGGGGTATTAAGGCTTACCTTAAAGTGCCAAAAAAAGATAGGGAAATTAATAGAACATCAAATCACATGGTACAAAGAAGAAATGAGCTCAGGGAAAGAACAGATTATTGTGGGCTTGCTTAGCCCAAGAAATATTCATGGAGGAGGTAGATCTTAAATGATGGGCCTCCCCCAGTTGTTGCTGAATTGGCACTTAATAAATTTCACATCTTTCCGGGGTTGACTTCCTAATTAATGTATGAATTAAACTTCTTTCGTGCAACTGGGTAGTCAGTGAAGTTTATCATCAACTAATTCTCTTTAGTAATTAGGTGACAGCAGAAGCATTCTGCTGCCCATGACCCCCAATGGACCCCTAATGACCTTAGAGGACACTCAAGGTCATTAGGGGTCATGGACACTCAAAGACTGTGCATGACCCCTAACAACCCTAGAAGACACTCAAAGCAAGAACAAGGCCATGTCTACACAAGGCAAGCATGTTCCAGCCATTCTATAATATTTAGGCCAAAATGTGAATTCTCTTAAATCCTTGTATCACTTGTCTGCAGAGCAGGCAATGGAAGAACAGGGTGATATTTTAGGTCAAATATTCAGCTGTTTGATCAGACCTCTGAAATGCCACTTATGGGGTATTTGCAGCAACAGAGAAGGTATCTCCAAACTGTGTCCCTCCAGCTTATTGAGTTTGGATTTCAGAGGTCCTTGGAATGAGCATGACAAATATGAAAGATCCATAGGCAGCTTCAGCCTAAAGGTGAGCATTCCAATGCTACCTTTTCCCTCTAGCCATACATATGTTGTGGCTCTTTCAGCAGATAAGCTATCCTCACCTGTAGTAGGTCTGTATTTAAATTCTTCTATACAAATAAGGACCTGTACCTTTTAGGGAACTTTGGGATTGGGGATTCTACAGTTTCCACTGGCAGCTCAGACTCAAGGCAACCTTCTGTAGTGGAAATCTCTCCTTGTGCTCTAGTCTAAAAGACTCAAGCTGTAGTTTATCTGTTTTACATTCTGTATATTCAATACATATGGAAACCTGTTGGTTGTATTTGTTACATTCTGAGTGGTTTTAAAAACCCAGCATAGATAATACACTTCAAGTACATAATTCACAAAATAGCCTTTCATAAACTGCATTCATTTCCTTAGTTGTTTTTAATATTTTAAGCATTCTATCCCATTAAAGTCCCATCTAAAATTGTAGGGCCCTTGGAAACTATTTTCCAAGTTAAGACACAGATAGGTATTTTCCCCAATAGTGGTAAAAGAAGTTCTTAGTTTTGTACACGAGCTTATTGATAAAAAGTTAGCCCCCATAGGATTCTGAGGCCAGGAGACAGGCTGGATCTGAAACCAGTGTGCCTGCTGGAAACTTACTGACTTTTCTCCTTCTCCTGAGGTACAATGGTTTCTATCTTGGCAAAGCAGGACCACATTCCTTTCCCTCCGACGCTCTTCAGAATTGTCCGCTTGGCTCGGATCGGCCGAATCCTGAGACTTGTCCGGGCTGCACGAGGGATCAGGACTCTCCTCTTTGCTCTGATGATGTCGCTTCCTTCTCTGTTCAACATTGGTCTTCTACTCTTTCTGGTTATGTTTATCTATGCCATTTTGGGTATGAACTGGTTTTCCAAAGTAAATCCAGAGTCTGGAATTGATGATATATTCAACTTCCAAACTTTTGCCTGCAGCATGCTCTGTCTCTTCCAGATAACCACATCAGCAGGTTGGGATGCCCTGCTCGGCCCCATGCTGCGATCAAAAAAATCATGTAACTCCTCCTCAGAAAACTGCCATCTCCCTGGCATAGCCACATCCTACTTTGTCAGTTACATCATCATCTCCTTTCTCATTGTTGTCAATATGTACATTGCTGTGATTTTAGAGAACTTCAATACAGCCACTGAAGAAAGTGAGGACCCTTTGGGTGAAGATGACTTTGACATATTCTATGAAGTGTGGGAAAAGTTTGACCCAGAAGCAACACAGTTTATCAAATATTCTGCCCTTTCTGATTTTGCTGATGCCTTGCCTGAGCCTTTGCGTGTGGCAAAGCCAAATAAATATCAATTTCTAGTAATGGACTTGCCCATGGTGAGTGGAGATCGCCTCCACTGCCTGGATATTCTTTTCGCTTTCACCACTAATGTACTCGGTGGCTCTGATGTCTTGGATAGCATGAAAACAATGATGGAAGATAAGTTTATGGAAGCCAATCCTTTCAAGAAGTTGTATGAACCCATAGTCACCACCACCAAGAGAAAGGAAGAAGAAAGATGTGCTGCTGTTATTCAAAAGGCATTTCGAAAGTACATGATGAAGGTGACCAACAGTGACTTGGAAAACAGGCCTCATTCATCACTTCAGACTCTTTGCAATGGAGACTTGTCCAGCTCTGGGGTAGCCAAGGGCAAGGTCCACTGTGACTGAGCCCTCACTTGCACCCCTACCTCACAGCCTCACAGCCTTGCCTCCAGCCTCTGAGCTCCAGGGGTTGGCAGCTCAGTGTATAAAAAGGGGTGGATTCACTAAATTATCCATTTTGTTTCTTTTTTCTGGCTAAAAGAAGTGATATTTCAATTTCATTTTAAATGATACTTACAGAGATATAAGATAAGGTTGCTTGACAGTTAACCACTGGTTATATTTTAATAAGGAAGAAGACACTAGGAAGGACTGTAAAAGGATATAATCATGTTAGGATTGAAATACAGTTCAAATTATATCTAAACAAAAGAATAAGAAACAGAAAATACATTACAATTTTAAGGTGTGTTTTCTATATATTTCTAGTTACATTACTCTTGTTTGATATTTTCCCAATGTAAGTATGTGGTTTATCAAATGTAGCTCTTTTGCATGCTAAGTGAAAATTCAAAACCTGCCAATAAATGCATAGCTTATTGCAGATATTTTTTACCAAAATTAATGTTTTGAGTTGTTTCAAACCTATAGGGACAATCTTGACTTATCAATTACTACCCTTTCACAAGCTACAATCTCTTATTTACTTACAATAAATAAATGAAACTTTCTGTGTTTCTTTCAGATAGTACACTAATATTTTCCTCTGTTCTGTGGTTGTATGTGTAGTGGTTTAAATGGGGTGCTTTGCTTGCAATTAAAGACTAGAGCCAGTGGTGTATCTGACAAGTGTTTAACAACTGTCTCTTCAGGAAAGAGGAAAGCCATGCTTTGTAACATTCCCTAATCTCTGTGGTGTGAGCACCGCCCCCCCCCCATCATGGCTGATTTAAAGCTATCGACATAATGTTACTGGACGCAGAGTTGAGAAGAGATGCCCGAAATAAGTTCTTGAGAGCCGACAAGCTGACTGCAGCACATCGCTTGCTGAAACTGATGCGAGCCCCACTTGGCGGGTTAAAATATTTGCAGTAGGTATCTTGGGCAGAGAACATCCTCTAAGCAACACCTGGGGCACAGGGTGGGAGATCCATGGACATACAGCTTAACCAGTGATCTTAGCCATTTCATGAGCCCTACACACAGCTTTGGCTGATTGTCTATTTCAAAGAAACACCTAGACCTATCAAAAGGGCTTGGGAGCAGGAGTAGCCTAGGACTTCTCTAAAAACTAAATGCCAAGAGGTCAAACAGGCATGAGGCTTTCAGGCCCCCAAAAGGCTGGACAAGGGACAAATAACCTACGTTGTGATCATTGAGGTGTGGAAGAAAACCTCACAGAAATAGCCCTGGAACCCTATATCTCAGACAGGTGAGAAGAGCTGATGTATCTGTCATCAGCCTGGAGTCTGAGATCGGAGCCTCTGACCTGCCCCACACTGCTCAGCAGAGGGAAGGGCAGCACTGGATCCTGTGGTGGGCTGAGAGGTGATGATTTTCAGTGTGTAAGATCTTACCATGACTTGATGTATTCATTTCAAGGGCCTGAGTTTTGTAGGTAGCCTTGTGCTCTGAAGCGTTGGTAAAAATAGTGATAATATCATTATCTAATATTTATTTAGTGGTTGCTGTGCACCAGGCACTGGCTAAGCATTTGCCATGAATGATCTCATTTGTACCTCATACCAACCCAATGAGGAAGGTATGCCCCATTTAAAAAGGAGAAAACTGAATCTCAGAGAGGTTGAGTGACCTGGTAGAGCCTGAGCCTGTGTGCCATGCTGGAAAGGCGAAGTGGGTGGGCTCAGGGCCTGGGAACCTTTGAGATGGGCTACCACGACTCCCGTTTAGGACTGGGAGGGCCTCATGGAAATCACTAGTTATAAAGTCGTGGCCGCATTCTTGAGGTACTGGGAATAACCTATGGCTTCCTTAAAAGAAGCCTCTGATTATGAACTTTAGGTGTTTTATAGATTACCTATCAAGTTTAAAAAAAAAAAAAAGGATGGCTGGCCATCTTTCCAAGAAGGGTACATTTTGGCTAGAGGTAGGGGAGGATCTGGAAGTAAATGGTCTTACCCACTCCAGACTCCCATGCAGAAGCTTGAATGTGATATGTTCTGCATAGAAGCTTTACCCTCAGAACATGTGGAACAAAATAAAACTAATGATAAAAGAAGCTTCACCTTCCTCCTGTCTACCCTGACATGCTTCTTTTTAAGAAGGGCTGGTTTCCTGGAGCCACCTCCTAGGGAGAGAGCAAGATCTGCTTAGCTTCAGCCAGAGGTTGGACCACTCTACCTTCACTAGATGGCAGCAGATGTCCAACACGTTCTTTTCAGAGAGCTGTACATCATCTGTACGCAGGCCTGGCACTTAGAAAGCCATAGGGTTGAAGGGAGAAGAGCCCCGGCAGGATATGGTGAATTATCTAAACCCTGGATGAGTGATAGAAAGCTCATAGTAATATCCCTAGAGATATTGCTTATTGTGTGAAGATCCAGGACACCCGCAGGAGGCAAAGATGTTGGTGTGAGCTCTGTTTTCCTGGGACATACCGATTTTCCACTGCAAACAGCCCTCCAGGCACATGAAGCCAGTCCTCTTATTCTCTGAGTTTTCTTTTCTCCAGGTAAATCAGCCCCCATGCAATTCTACTGGCAGACATGTTCCAAGGATGAATGCAGTGTATTGGGTGTGAACTGCTTCTAACCAATGGCCTTTAATCTCAGGAGTGTATTTGCTATTTGGCAGGAGAATTAGATGAGTGTGCATGCAATGATAATGCAATATAACATAACAAGTGCCATAAACCAGAGACATGCCTCTGCTCTGAGGACGTGAATGAAGCAAGCTCACAGAAAGGCTTTATGAGAGAGATGCATCTGAGTTGGATGCGCTTCACAGATGTGTAGGATTTTGACAGGTGAACCTGGTTTTGGAGGGTGTTTGAAGTGGAGGAGACAGCACAGGTAGCTTGATGGCAGCTAGAAAGTGTGAGGAAGTATGAGTTACCCAATTGACTGGACATGGAGTATAGGGAGTGGGGCAGCAGCAACTGAATCTTAGACACAGACGTTTGTGGACAGCCTCAAATGCCAGAGTGAGGAATTCTAGCACATTTAGATAATAAGAAGGCATTAAAGGTTTTGAGCAGGGAAGAAAAATAACTGGACAGAGTGGAGAGAAACAAGATCTGATCCTCGTGGGGAAGAGTCACTGAGCCAGGAAGGTGAGGGCAATGCAGTGTGATTCCAAGATGCTTGTGCCAGCTGCCTGACCATGAAGGAGGACAAGATAGATGGCAGTAAAGGGTTCCAAGTTAACAGCATAGGAGGAGCCAGGGTTTGGGTGTTTTTTTTTTTTTTTTTTTTTTTTTTTTTTTTTTTATTGTTGTTGTTTGCTTGTTTTAATGGCTAATGAGGAAGATAATCTAAAAATTAATTCAATTTTAAATATTTTGAAGATTTAAGATGTCAGGTCCAACTGACAATGCCCAGCCAAGACTTGAACTTGAGAACAAGCTGTGGACAGGAGGCTTTGGTGCAAAGGTGATGTCTGAAACCCCAGGAGCAGATGACATCATGAGAGAGTATCTAGAAGCAGTCAGCGGACTTGCCCTGGGGATATGTTTTCAGGGAATGAAAGCGAAGAGAAGTGAGACAGTTCAGAGAAGAATGTGGGGTAGGTGACAGTAAATACCATGACATGTAATGCAGGAACAGAGCAGGCTTCACTGGAGAAATTTAGTCAACAAGATGAGATACACAGTCCCACCTTTTCATCCCTTCCACCAAACAGCATGCAGGATCCAGGAAAGAATCCCAGCCCTCACTGCTCTACCTTTTTACAGGGTGAAGATGAGTACTTGCCTTATAAACAACTGGGCCAGGGAGCAGATTGGAATGTCAGTTAGTTACTAACACCCAATGCCCTGGGGGAGCTGAAATCCTGTATAGCTCCTCCTGCTCAAGATGGGGAAGCCACTGGTCCTAGATTGCTCGTTGCCTGGCAGCCCAGATAGAACCTCCAGGGTCATTGAATGGGCAGTCCTGTCCCTTGATACACAAGGAGTAATCAAAGTGGCACTGGGAAAACAAGAGCTAACATTTATTGAGCACTTACCAGCATTACCTCTTCATGACATCTCTGTTAGGCAGAAACTATTTTTAACTTTTGTTATACAGATGCGGAAACTGAGGCATATAGAGGAAATAAGAGGCTTCTTTGAGAGCCAGTAGGAGGCTTTGTCAGGATTCAAACCCAAGCATCCTGGCTCTAAGTCTTAAGCTATCAACCACTATACTGCATTGCACCTCAGGCAAAAAGAGACAATGTGCTTGATGTTAAACAGAAGGTACAGGGGTTTCCTGTTAGTGTTTGCGAACTTTTTTCTGTTCATTTCTTTTTGTCTCAAGATAATGCATGTTTTTAAACTTATCTTTACAATGTGAAAACTCACACTGGGGAGATGCTGTGCTCCCTTTCCAAGTTTAATACAATCAGTTCTGTAGATGTATTTGGTTCCCTAATATTTTGACAGAGCTTCCATCCTTTTTCCATTCTCTATCTTCTTCTCCAGACAAACTATGGATAATCTATCTCCTCTAAAACCAGGCGCCCAGCAGGCAGTGGAACATCTTTTCCTTTTGGACAACAGACTTCTATTAACGTAGACTACAACTGTACAATTCAGAGATGGCAGTGTTCCCAAGAGGTATCCTGAGGATAATAATTTAGCTTCCTTTAATCCGCACCAATCCCCCAACTCAATGTACTCTGAATAAGCATATGGGCTAAGTAAAAACACTGTGTCAGCTGTGCCAATACAGCTTCAAGTTCCCCTGCTCCCTTTCTATACTCTAAGATCTTCCTATATTTTAAGTATAGGAAGTATATTGGAGCCATAGAACTATAGGAAATATGTCTGGAGCCAGATCACACTGATGGCTCATATTCCATTGATTCATGAGCCCTAGTTAGACTTCTACAGAGTTTTTTTTTAATAAATTAATGTTTTAGAGAGCAATCCTTGAAAAAAAATGGATTCGGATCTAAATGAAGGTCTCAGTAGAGTTCTGAATCTCCATTTTCACACCGAAGTTTGAAAAGAGAGGTTTCTACTACTCCATGGGAGGGCAGCAGAACCTCAAGGGATGGACCACCAATCAGGGGACACACCAAACGAGGGAAATGCCCTAGGGGCCTGGAGTTCAGAGTGGCCACTCCAGGACTGGGTGAAAGTATAAAAAGACATAGGAGACTTCAACAAAACTGTCAGCCAACTTGATCTCTTTGATTTTTATAGAACTCAGCTAAGAACAAAAGTGCACATTTTTAAA